GATAGTCTCTTCTTTTTTTTTTTTTTTTTTTTTTTTTTTTTTTTTTTAAATGACTATGATATCCCACTGCTCAGAGCAGGGTAAGAATTGGTGACCCTTGTAAATCACACTCTGGATGAAACTCTCATAGACCTAAAATTATAATTCTGCATTGTGCAGGACAATACGGAGTTATCAGCTCAAACTGGCAAGATTCACACAAGGTACTGAAAGAAATGTTAAGACATAGTCTAGTCAATATGGGAATGATATGTTAGGTTAGTAGAAGGGCTGCTGACAAGCTCATATTTTTTTAACTGGCAACTGAAGCTGTGCTTCTTGGTTATTTTTGTAGCAGTGTGGCATGAGCCTGGGACTGAGTGAAGAAGAATCATCTACAGTTGAGACGGTGGATATTTCATTTTCTGCTTAAATACATCACCATATAGCATATTTTTACTGTTTTGAAATTAAATTTTATCACTGACATAATGGAATACAAACTATTATTGTTATGGTCTGAGATAATATCAGTACCTAGTCAATACTAGTTCTAATGAAGGTAGAACAGTCTTCTAGCCTATTTTGAAATTCGTAGCTGTTTTGGAGAAGAGCAATTTCTAGTTGTATTTCTGGCTTTATTTGTAACAGTTCATTTATTGTAGAAAAATAGAAAAATGAAATATAAATGTGCTGCTTCAAGATCTGGTAGCTGAAAAGACAGAAGGGACATAAGTCAGCATTTATGGATAAAGGTTAGTGACTGCAGATCAGGAGTTCAGAAACTGTATCCAACTCTGTTAGGCTTATGAATTTATTTAACATTAAATGGGATTCTAATGAAAGAATCATTGGAAACTAAAAACCCTTACAAGCAAGGCACATAGAAAGAGAAAAGATCTCAGAAGCTAAAATAGATGTCCTATGGTCTGGATGTTTGTACAGCGTTTTTCCTTGAAATGGTTATTTTCTTCTTCGTTTATTTTCACCTTTCTGCCCATTTGTTCCATTTTCTCCTTCCTTTCTGTTGGATTCTTTTTTCCCTTCATCCATTGTGTTTCACTCACCTTTCCTTTGCTATCTCTGTAACAACCTAATTCAGATGAGAATTTATCCGGGAATATCAGTTCGCTGAAATTAGAATATCATTTGTCAAGAAAATGACCTTATTCAAAGACAGCTCAGTGATTGATCTTTTTAACTGCTGTTGAGAGGAAGCAAACATTTCTTTTTCTTCTCTCAGCATTCTCTAGATTGTGTAATACTAGTGCTGCTAAGAATATCAAACATTGATGTTGTGTTTTGGTGATAATTTTTTAATTTTTTTTTAATTTTGTTTTGTTTTGTTTTGTTCCATCTCCTGGTTCATGCCCTTTTTTTTCCATGCTGCTTTGTGATATGCTGAATAAGTCAGTCTTTCTTATATTTATTTATATTGGGATAGTTACAAGGAGTAGTTCCTGAACTGGGGGAACCTCAATTGAACGGTATGAATTGAACTGAGTGAAAATTTTTCTTTATCTAAAGATTGGATGCTGCCCTTGACATGTCTGCGTATGCACATGCAAACACCTTGCCACGTGTAGAATTTAATACTCCTAAAATACAGACCCTTAAATGGTGTAAGTCTAACAATGCTCACTCGGTGTTCGTGATTCATTCCTTGTAAATGCATAGAGATAACTCAGTTCCCTTCAGGATGACCACAGTTTGTGTGGCATTTACTTGCTGCAGCGATGATTTTAGAACATGCTTACCCCAAAGAAAATATATTGACATTTGTATTAAGAGAGTCATTATAAATGATTAAGTTAAAAATGCTAATCATGCTAATGTTGAGAATCATTGCTAGATAACTGTTCAGTGATTAAAATATGTTAAAAGGGATTCTTTGCCTCAATATAAAAGTGTTGCAGTATGCCACATGGTGGTGTTTTTTTTTTTTTTTTTTTTTCCATCCAGACTGTTAAGGAATTTCTTCTGTAAAGCTTCATCCCTTTGGGTTGGGGGGGAACTTTAAAATGTACAAAACCATGCGAACAGCCAAACAGAAAACCCCAACAAACACCACCAAAAGAAACCCAAACCCTAGACATTTGTATCCAATTTCTTTTTTCTGACATCATCTGCTAATATGTAATTTTTGGATTTAGGCTTATTACTATCTTACCTTTCCTGTAGTTTTCCATTTTGTCCCTTTCATAGTGTTACTGAGATGTTTAAAGCAAACTGTGGTTAAGGACTATTACATGAAAGATGCTAGTGTTGTCTACAATCAGCGTAGCAAAATTTTAACTTTCTCCTTAGATTTGTGAGGATGAAGCATGTAGTGTGCATGTATATTCGTGTCTAGGTCTTCAAGGAAAAATGAAAGTGTCAATAGATTGTTGTTGCTTTTTTGTTGTTCTGTTTCCTGTAGAACGTGTTGCTGAAGTGTATGTAACTTTTTTTTTTTTTTTTTTTAAAGAACAAATGTAACAACTGAAATCTGAATGAATAAATCAGTAAAGCACCAATCGGTACTTTTCATTTTTGAGTTGCCCTCTTTATCAGGTGTTTGTACTGTTACCTATATTGTGTTTCTCTAGCTATTTCTTACATAAGGGGATAAATCTTAGTTTAAATTTATTTCACTGAGGCAAAAAATGTAATTGAAACACATTGGGATCAATACAAACTATATAAGAAGTCATGAATTATTTTTCTAGCCCACTAGGTACTAATACCTAGGCACTGGTATCTCATGAAATACTATAATAATTTTTCTTCCAGTGAGTAAGTAAATACTTCAGCCCAGAAATAAAAACGTTTCTCTTTTCCTTGTATTCATTTCTGCATGAAGGGTTTTTTTTTTGTGCCTTTTTTCACTTTTTTCCCTCTCAAACTCATCAGAGGCATGATCTTTTTTGTTAGATGTGCACACATTAATAATGCAACTATGGTTGTAATATAAAGGAGCACACTCCTGCAGAATTGCATTGAATTAGGGTGGTTGTTTTACATAAAATACTCTTTTCCTCCTTGAAAAATGAGAGCTAGATTTGTAAAATACTTTGATCAAGTCACTGACATGCTGAAGATAAACTTCTGAGGCCATTGAAGTGTTTAAGAATGTTTCAGTTGCTGAGAGGCTTCCCACTCAGGAAAGTTGATTTGTGTTTTTTTCTATTGTTAAGTTCTAAATAAAAAAGAAAAGAAGGGCCGTGACCTGCAGCTGCTTGGCAGACCTGAACACAAGTGCTACCTGTAACCAATGTCGGTCTGTTTCAAACCATCAGGTTTTTCTTGAACCATTTATTCTGAATTGGTAACCAGAAATATTTTTCTTGGTTCAGGTTCCATTATAGTTCAAATTGTATAGCAGTTGATCTGAATTACGATTCCATTTTGATTTATATCCAAAGACTTGACAAAAGCACGTACAGTTCTGAAAAGGGAAGCAAAAGTGTGCATGGCTGTCCACTCTGTGCATTGGCAGTGAGAGCCTGTAGCTCACTTGGTCCCTAATGCCAGTGTCTGGTGGATCAAAGGAAACAAAAGTAATATAATGTAGCTCAATATATTGAGTATTCAGTAACGGATCATTCTTTGATCAATTTGGGGTTGGACAAATATGAATGTTCAGGTAGATTAAATAAAAACTAGGAGTTATTTACACAGTAAAAAATATTTCGAACTATAAAGAACCCTGAGTAAAACCTTACAAATCATATAATGTCTTTTTACAGGAGAATGTCTGCAGCAAACCACTATATGAATTACATTTTTCAAGTAGCTGTATCTTAACACAACACCTTTTTTTGCCCTTTGGATGATAGTGGTGAGGAACAATAACTTCTACAGGGAGTTCTGGTTATTATTAAGAGAAAAAATACTATTGAATTACTGTCATTCAGTAAATATTACTTCTGTAATTGCAGAGAAATTTTCTCATGATTATGCACCCTGTTAGTGTGTACAACACTTCAAATCTGCTAACTAAACAAACCTAGTCTGTGTTTTTTTAATCTTTTGTATTTCATATATTATTTAGAAATTTCTTTTTATTTCAGTTTCTTGTCATCAAATGCATTATGACGAAATACCTCCTGTTATAAGAAAGATGCAAAAAGCACTCCTCATGTAGAATAAAGTCCAATGTGAAAGCAACTTTAGTATGTGTTCTTTCAAAAATCGGTATCAGAAGTGGAAAAAATTACTTTTTTTTAGTTGTTAAGCTGTTTTGAGAGTTTTGTACCACCGATTGTGGATACTGAGGTTTTAAGAAAAAAACAACTTTTGTTGTTATTTTTAAATTTAGTTAATTTATTTCTATTCTAGGAGGTATCATAGCAGATATCAGGTGGTGACGAATTACACAATTTACACTCTCTGTTATACTGTAAGGAGCATTTGGGTTTAAAGATGTTATCCATTATTTTAAAAAAAAAAAACACTTTTCTTTTTTTTTCCTTTTTCCAGCGTCTTGTTGAAGCTGCAGAAGATGCTTACCTGAAACATGAGTTTGATGCTGACTTACAGGTAATGAATAATTATTTTCTTAAATATTTATCATCAGAGTGTACTATTAACAGTTTATACAATAACTTGCTTGAAGAACTGCTGTAGAAAGCCAAGCATGTGAGTAATAGAAGGAGGCTGATTACAGCAAAGGGAAATAATGAAGGTTGGCTCTGTATTTTGACAGGTTACACATTTAGTTTTTGTGTGTTGGGAGACCAAGCAGGTGGATTTTACTCTTTTAGAGATTTCATTTAAATTCCCTGCATGTCTGCTTAGGTCAAGATTTCTAAACACAGTAATTAGCAGCATGTTTCATCGTTGCAGTGTATTGGCAAGAAATTGTTCTACAGAGAGTTGAATTTGCAGATGGGGTGGGACCCACAGGGATGGGATTTGTATGACCTTGATTTGTGCAAACGGTTTGTTTTTGGATCTGTGTCTAGAGCAGACACCATTTTTTGTCCTACCTAGAAGCCCTTAGAGCCATGCCATTATTGTCTCAAAACGTTGCCTTTAGGAATAACACGGAAGGAGGAAGCACTGTGGCAGCTCACAGTTAAAAATGTTTCGAAGAAAAACCTTTGCTTAAATAAGACACATAATTAAAAAATATGGTCAGTTTAGAAACCAGGTAATCTAACCTAAAATGGAAAGTTTAACAGAAACTGTTATTTGATACTAACATGAGTAAATTCTTCCTTGTCTGTAATGAATTCCTACATGCTTGGTTTCTTGAATGCCATCTTAGGTGGAGTTTTGTTTATTTTGTCTCTATCTAGACTTAATTTTAAACCTTCTGTGAATGTTTGCCATATGTCTATTTAAATTTTGACTTTAAGCATTAAGGGAAACAGGGAGTTTTTCCATAGACATATTCTCGTGCATATATCTGAGAAATACACAGATCGCCAAGTTCTGTTTTCAGATTTTACCATGGTTACTTCCAATAGTCACAAAACATTTTATTTTAATGAAAATATGATGCAAATATTTATTTCTGTACTGAAAGAAAAAAAATAGAGTAAACTTTTCAGGGGTAAGCATAAAAAAATGAAGCTAGATGTCTGTGATTCTGAGGTCTGTCAGCACATGTTGGAGTAAGCATAAAATGAGCACACTGAAAGTGATAATTTGTATTATTTTTATATTCAATGAGTGTTGGCTTCTGTATTCAAATGCTTTTAGAGTTCTGTTACATTCCAGCTTTCCAGAGGTGTGCTGCCTTTTTTTTTTTTTTTGAACTTCAAACCTTGGAGAAATAGAAGCTTTTGTCTGAATAAATCAAAAACAAACTTTATAGAATATTTTTTAGAGGTCTGCAGAAAGTGCTTCTTCACTGCAGGAGGGTTCTCACTTTGACAAAGTCCTTCATTTGCTGAGGCTCTGAAATTATTAACACTTTCAGGAAGCCAGTTAAAAACCATTTGTGTCAGCAGCATTAACAGGACAATCAAATCTTTGTGTAGACCTCTGTTGTTTATTACTGTCACGGTCCATTAAAGTTAATCAATTGTTAATCTTGGTTTCAGCGACCCCTTTGCAACCCTTGCTGGGTGATTGTTGTTCTTTATCAAAAATCTCATAATACCATCTGCTCAATATAAAATAATGGCCAGAATGATTTGATAGTGTACATTGAAGTGGAGGGGGACAGAAGGCTTGTATAATGTACAGCGTATATAATTCTGCTATCACAGAGGAATTTTTTGGCATTTGTATTGCCTTGGCCGACGTATGGTAGACAGGATTAAATGCTTTGAATTAGTCGTATGTGACAGAGCACCAGTCTGTGTTCTTTGTCCTCAGCTATTCTGGAAATTCAGAGAGCACATAAAGAAAGCGCTTTTGTGCTTTTTATTGGTTCAACATCACCTTCTATGTCCTGAGGACAATATAGATAATATTGAGACAGTAAGTAAAAATGATATAAGGGAGAAATAAAATTATATTAATATTTTTATTGACTGTGAAAAAACACCAACTTAAAGAAAATAACAATTAGAAGAGTTTATGTTTTAGCTGGTATTCTCTTCAGCAGTGCTGAAACTATATTATTTGGCCAGGCTAGATCTGATCCCTTCTGGGCATTTTTCTTAGTAACATTATTCGGTTTGTCCTTAGTTGTTGTAGAAATTCTAATCAATATACTCTAACACTGTGTAATGGTCTAAACACTCAGCTGTCTATACCTGGACTGGATCTATTGGCACCACCAACAAAAACCTTATAGTTATAAACATAAATAAAATTTGCAATGAATTGAAAGAAATAAATCAAAATGGGTGATATGATGTTTAAATCATCAGCATTATATATTGCATGATAGAGTAATGGTCAAACTAAGAGTTGGTGAGAGCTGACTTTAAAGATTTACCCTGAAGTATCTGGGCTTTGGGAAATTCTTTTTGCTGTTAGGTATATGAACCAAGAGCTGCAATTTTAACAAGTTATGAGAAAATAACCTTTTAAATGTTGCTTTTATTTGAACATTTAACCAAATCCAGGGTTTTTGTACCTGGTGGATATGGTTTCAAGGTAATCTGTGTCATTAAAGACTCTTTCCAAGTTCTTGCCATGTGGAATTACTCTTTAATCATGCCTAATGATGTGTGTATGGATATAAGATAAATTACCATTTTTATTGCTACAATAAGTTGTCTTATCACGGTATTTCCATAGGCTTAAAGAATTGCTCATCTTGCTTTTTACATGGCATTTTCTTTTGTGCTTGCCTTTGTTTAAAATGAAGCAATTCCTCCTGATTTTGTTGCTTTGGTATGATGAAAAAACAAATAGGGGCCAACTGCCAAGCACAGACACAGCAAGAGTAGAGGAAGTGACAGGTTTTGAAGTGATTCTACAAGCATGTTTTACTTTTGTTGACTTAGTTTGCTAGAGAAAAGGCTTTGGGGAAATTTTAAAAAAGAGGGTGACATCTTCAGTTAGGAGGTGATCTCTTAAAAGAAATTTCAAATCATGTATAATCATTCTTGTTAACTGAAATTTGGCATCCTGATCATTTACTTTCTTTGTGCTTGAGTGTGTTTCCTAAGATGTGAACTGACTTTTTAAGATTCACAGAAATACCATAGTGGAGTTGGTTTCAAACCCCTGGAAGAGGCTCTGAAGTGTAGAGCTCTTCCCTCAAGCTGTCATATGCCTAAGAATTTATTGCATATGCAGCTGATACAACCACATAGGTTTAAAGGATGTCTCCTCCCACTGCATTTCCTCAAACCACTAGGAACTGAACAGATTTTGTTGTGTAAAAATACACCCATGTATTGCTGCTCTTCTCAGGCAGTAACTAGCAAGGTGGTAAAGCACAGTTCAACCGCAGTCATGTCGTCCGTGCTGGCATCTAAGTCCTCTACAACGTGTGCCATTTATGTGATTGTATCTGTATCATAGTGTTGTTTTATTGCTGGCTATCAATAATCTCAAAAGGTGGATGCTCAGCAGTGGAATTGATGCTGGAATTCTCAAGCAGATCAGTAAAAGTAGCTTGCACTTTTCTTCTTACAAACTTTAAAAAGTGTATATAAGATTAAGGATCAATAATATTTTATAATACTTGGTCCTTACCAAGTTTTCATACTTCTGACCTCAATGACAGGAGGAAGTCATACAAAGTTTTGCTCTGACTACTGGTTCATTTGCTGAATGGTTTCATTATAAACACACATTTGCAGGGCAGTTCTTCTGTTTTCTGTGTGTTAATTAAGTTCATTAGTTCACTTGACTTTCATTCCAGCTGAGTTTTCTCTGCGTGTGTGTGATGTGATAATAAAAAAAGCAAGGTTATTTCTTTATAATAGAATCAAAGATAATGCATAGTTGATATCACCTGAATTACTAGATGTTTTCTTTTTGGATTTTTTAGTTTCACTTTTTGTATAAGACAGGGGAGGTTCAAGTGTTGATGCTTTAAGATAGTTGGTCTTATTCCATTTTTATGTCAGAAGACTAGAAAAGATTTAATCAAATAGTGTTTAGGAAAGGATTATTTTCTTTTAAGAATACTCTTAAAGTTAATTTAGTGGGATAAAAAAGGTATAATGCTTTAAGGCTGCTTTTCATTATTTTTTTTTTTTAGATCTATAACATATGGCTGAGTCTTAAGAGTTTTTCAAAACGATACCAAAGCTAGGTATCCTTCTGCCAGATTTTGCTGGCAATTAACTCCTAATTGCATTTCATGTCCTTGAAAATCTCATCTTTACTCTTAGACTGTATGTCTTGGCTGTAGGAAAAAATCTTGTGAACTCAACAGATGAATAGTTAAGGATTTTCCAGTGCTTTACATGGGTGAATGATGTACTTTTAAAATAAATGTTTAATGATTTTGGAAAGTCTACAGCAGGTGAGACATAAAATGTTTAGGAGAAAGCACAAATAGCAAGAGTTCTGGGGAACAGAATTATTCTAGTTCATAAGCTCTACAGCTTCTGCGTCTAATCCTGCAATTGTTAATATTACTAGATAATTTGCTGTCTTTCAGTGGGAGCTACCTGACTTTTAGTACTTTTTCAAAAATTCGGTTGCTAAATATAAGACTTAAATATAGAGATGAAAGCATAAATTGCTGTTTAAGACTTAAATTGCTATTACTTTAAAAAAAGTTCTGACCTAAATCTTTGTTTAGTATAATGATACTGTGCAAAAGTTTATAATGATGGATTATTAAATGCTTAGGTATTTAATTAAAATTTAATCAAATAGATAGTAATTACATTGATATCTGTTACTGGAAAATACAAGGACAAAAGATAATTGAGAGTAGCTATTCTACATTATCTTATTATACTCCTATTATAACATATACATTACTTTCATGTTAGTATTTCAGAAAAGTCAGTTTGCATATTTATTATCTCACTGCTTTTGAATGAGCCACATGATAACTAGATTTACACTCCGTGTATTGGTATTAAAATATTGCTGTCTGTTAGAATGATGTCCAGTAGACTGAAGTCAGCTGTTGTAGGGTCCTGGACATCCACAGTGGAAACAGAAGC